ACTCTTGGGTCATTCACGACTTGTCCGGGGGTGAGATTTGAACTCGTAACTTTGGCGTGAGAGGTATGGATTTTAACCACTACGCCGGGATTACCCCCTTGACCCCTAGGAATTGTAGAGGAACCACAATTTCTGAAATTCATTAAGAAATGGCTAAGCTATGTCATTGCAAACTTGCTATTTCTCGTTTTTCGGAGGCTTCGTAGTCGGCGTAAAGTATTTTACCCACCGTATTCGGAGTATTAATATGATTTAATCCTCTTGTGAACTTTTGCAACGCAATTCTTAGCAATATCCCACATAGTTAAGTATTTTAATATTAATTTTGAGGAAACAATTTATTTTAAGTTTCTCACCGACTGTATACTATAGTGTCTAAAAGAATGGTGGCACTATTACAAAGCTAGTGTTGTTGTTGTGGCTAACCTCATTATGACGAATAGCTTAAAATTACTGTTAGTTTTAATACTAAGCACTAAGGTTCACAAATTTAAGATTCATATATTTTGAATTTAATTTTAAATTAATTAAAGGCACATTTCGGGCCTTGTTGCAGGCAGCTGGTTCGGACTCACGCCGACAGTTCGCTCACCTGAACACGGAACGGAATCTTCTTCACACGCTTGGTCTTGAACTCTTGGACACAGTTTCTTATAAAACTGTGTAGAGGAATCAAACACACAGTCAAATTAACGGGGTGACAAATTCTTTATTGATCTTCAATTAACAATGGTTGTTAGGGGAATGAAAATTTTCTCCGATCTCGCTTCATGGCTTACTGATCTCTAACAGGCCTGTTCGCGAACGTTTATTTGTGCGTGCATATGCCTATTGTTTATTGCTATAGCTATCATACTTGTAAATACTGCTCAAAATGCCTCGAAACGAAGCTGAAAACACACCGTCTACACAATAAAAACTTACATAAGGACACTCATCCTACTCATTTTATAATAGTGTTTTGTTGCAACAAGTATAGCCGTCTGTTTTAAAATCAACCCGACCAATGCATAAGGTCTCAACTACATTGCTCGATTCGGCTGTGGTCCATTTGGTGTATTTTCACTTACATTTGATACTTCGAAAATAAATTATAATTTTCGAAAATCCCTCTGTTGATCATCCGATTTTCGAGAAGGCGTTTGTCAAAATTGATTCCTAGTCGGTCATAAATAAGTCTGGTACAATTCTAAAGCAAATTTTCATTACGTCGAAATTAACACCCAATTTTAAATTTATTAACCAATCAAATTGCTTTTTGACGTTATCACCTTCCGATCAAAATAATTTTCGATGTTACTTAAGTCACCCGATTTCTAAGGAGATGCCGTTTGTCGCAGATAAACCCGTGAAAAGTATACGTGCGTCGATTCGCTTTCCCGCCATTTAAGTGAATAAAACGAACTGTTTGTACGGAGACGTGATTGATAATTCTCCCGAATATCCTGGTTAATACACTTTGACTTAAGTAACATGAGGGGACCACCAAACGACGTATAATAACATTTGACTCAAAAACCAGTATTTTTAGCATGAAAGCTAGCTATTTGTTTTGTATGATCAAAACCATAACTATCACTATGAGATTATAGGTGTTTGATTGGAAATAGGAATAATTTTTCGGTCATCAAAACAAAACTTAATTTTTCTCGGATCGGTGCGAATGTTACTTTCGACATAATGAAAATTTGCTCTTGAATTGATCAATGTAGGTAGGCCCATATGAAGAAAAAAAAAATACAGAAAGTGGGAACTCTTCGTGAAGCACAAAAAATAAAAAAAATGCGAGTACAAGCGCTTTTAAATTTGTAATTGATTTGCACGGTTCTCCAAAACCCATCTTGATACAACTAATATTTTTTGGTGAAATGGCTTTTAATTGGTGATCAAAATTGGGCGCTCTCTGTTTCCACGTTAGGGCGTGGCCGGCGCTGGTATTGCCTAGTTTGAGATCACCAGTTTTTACACATTGAGGATGATTGCTAGTCCCAAGCATCAGGATTTCTCATTAATCAAAGGATCGATCACATTTTAGTCGTTGCTACTTTTTATGACTTGATAATAGTGACACGACTTGGGTAGTGACCACCGTCGTGCTGCATTTCTACATTGCATATTACAAATCAAAAATATTGTTTATGTTAATTTCACATAATCCTTTTCCCTTTGTCCTTCTCCTTTTCCTTTCCCTCTTCTGTTTTCAGAAAGCGAGTAATGGCGCTATAGCCATAAGTCATAAAAGGCTAAGACAACAGTTAGTGCTCATGCCCCAACCATTAGAAGAAAATGGAGCATCACTTAACCTTTCTAGCTTGGATACTTCCAGCGACCAACCAATCATATAATTACCAAAATCGGAACGTACGGTACGAGATTTCCACGTTTCATCCATTTATTGGATTCTGAAGCATCGTGTTTAAATCGAAAATACAATTTATTGTAAATACATACAATACATTCAATTGTACGTCTACATTTCTTTTTTTAACGGGTAAGCATCGCTTGGTGAACAAAAATGTTCTCCAACTTTTTGATACACTAATTCGTTCACAATTCCACTTCTGTTCTGTGACTGAGTATAACAAGGAAGACGATATGTAGTGTTGGAAGATTCTCATAGATCGAATTTGTGTGTTCAACCCAAGAATTTCATCAAAATTTGCAATTATAAATGTGTTTATCACTCCACATTTGATTCGTATTCTGAGAGAGAGAAAGCTCTCAGAGACAGTTCTGGAGAGGTGTTACTCATTCCAGAACCACAAAACTTATGTATTACCCATACTCTAGAACAGAGAGAATTGTTGTTTAATAAAGTATTATGAGGTCTCCCGGATGAGCACACCACCATTGAACGGAGAAAGTTGATCGTCTGCTCCCAAGCAACACATATGTTCTATACCCGATAATTAAACTTTTGTATTACTAGTTTTAGTTGCATAGCAGTTTACTCAACATAAATCTATGAATGTGTGTTACTCGGGCTGTTACTTGAAGGTACTTGAAAGACAATGATTGGGTAATGTTCCTGCCCAAAAGAGTTTAGGTTTTAAAGCAGTTTACTCAAAGTAATTCTATGAATTTGTGTTACTTGTCTTGCCCAAGAAGACAAGTTATCTAAGGAACTTTGCAATTGTCCTTGCAAGTGCACGGTATGTGGACCTCTTATGGAAACCATAGTTGTCGATATATTTGACTTAAAAGTTATAAAGAAGAGGGCTGATACGTGAGCCTTGGGGTAGGCCCATGTAGCTAAATCTGGAAATTGTCAGTTGTCCAAGAAAAAAGTTCATTTTCTTTTCTGACAACAAATTGTATAAGAAATTGTTTGAAATTCCAGAAAGTCAACATCTGTGCAGATTGTCTGGCAGAATTTCATTGGAAACTGATTCAAAAGCCCCCTTAATGTCCAGAATAGTGAAACCAGTTGCTCCTTGTGCGCAAAGGCCAGTTGAATATCTGTGGAAAGCAGCGTTAGACAATCGTTAACTGTGTATTTGATATCAAGTTATTTGATTATTTATCTCCGAAGGATAATTTTATCCAACAATTTCCTAATGCACGAAAGCATTGCAATCGGACGATATGAAAAAAGGTCAGACGCTGGTTTTCCAGGTTTTTTGAATGGCTATTACTTTGACATGTCTCCATTCAGGCGGTATAATGTTGTCTAGCAAGGAATGTAATAAGTCTAGCGCGTCTTTTTGTGATATTCATAAGATTGAATTTAATCACATCGCTTCCCGGTGAGGAGTTGTTTGATGAAAGAAAAGCCATAGATAATTCCAGCATTGTGAATGGTCTATCCAGACAGCCGCCACTCAGAGACGCTTTTCGAAGAATATGTTGTGCTGGAACTGAGTCTAGGCAGACATTTCTTTCGCAAAGTCCAATATCCATCGGTTGGAGTACATGATCATTTTTTCAGAACAATGTTTTTTTTTTGGTTTCATTTGGGGTCTCAAACAACTGTGCAAAATTTGGGGACGATTGGTTAAAGCCCGGCTTTCCGCATTGCGTTTGAAATTTGTACGGAAATTAGAATGGGAAAACCTACTTTTTTACATATCTTTATTACTAGGGATTTGGCACAAACCATGCATCTAAATACGTGTGATGCTAGAATGCCCCTAAAAAAAGATCAATGTTTCGAATTAAATGCCAAAAATACCTTTTTCTGCCAACACTGCCGGTGTACCAATAAAAGTCAAACTGAAATAACTTCGGAGTTTCTTATTTTACCGATTTGGTATGTTCAGATGAATTATTCACAAACAATTTTTCAATCTCATCTCGCCCTTCTCACTCATTTAAATGGAAGTTACGCTTCAAACTGCCATAGCTGCAGTTTTTTCTGATCTTGCCAAGTTGGTATGTTCAGATGTATTCAAAAACATGTGCTCCATTTAATAAGCGTAGTAAGATATGGGGGGCTTACTGTATGCTTCCCGGCCCTCACTTATATCAATGAAAGTAAAATAACTTCGAAGTTGCCCATCTCTTGAGCTGTTTGGATGGGTTATCGATATTCTTCCAACGTTGGAGGTGTATCAATCGATTTGACATAGATTGTCACCGCCGTTGCATATTTTTGCCAGTCGATGTTCCTTGTAAGATCAAATGGAACTTGAGATGGTTCTGCAAAGTAAGGGCCACACTTAATTGAAATGATGATTGGCAAATGATCACTACCATGGCTTTCTTGAGCCGGAGGTTTTACTACAGAGTAAACGCTCCTATAGTTGCGGTACGTTAGAAGCATTAGGATACGGATACGTCTATTAACGTCTCTTTAAACTGTTCCCCTACAAGAGGAGAATTTAGTTCATTCGAGACGGGTTTTAAACAGCAGCTGTTTCATCATTGTGTGTCCCCCGTTTAGGTCGGTCGTCCTCCCTCGTGTACCTTGGTCTTTAGGACCTCTCAGACTACCTCTTGTCGAATGAAGTGGAATGACTACCAGTCATTTTCTTTCTAATGCCACTTCAACTTACTCGTGCTTATATCATATCGTATAAGTCTAACGCCCTCAGGAAGTTGAGTACAGTTTGCTCTGTACTCCTGTCATTGAACAATACCTCACGGATTGAACCAACGACACCCATATCTTCCCTTAATTGTGCTCTCGCCGGGCACTCCACCAATAGATGATTCACATCTAATACCGCACCGCATCCCTGGCAGTAGGCCACACTGCCGCTAAATCGAGGTCCATGAGTGAGCCGTGTATGACCAATCCTCAGCCGAGTCAGAACTTTCTGATCTCGAGAATTAGGTGCATCCTTCCACTCTTGTGTAGTGTTCTTGATACGACGCAGGAATGCATCACGGTTGTTATGCCAAGACACATTCCATGCGTATCGCGAGGTCTGCTTCACCCAGCGGGTAGCGTCACTATAGGGCACCGGAATGGCCTCTAGTTGAGCAAGACGACCCTGGTTAGCTAGTTTATCAGCAGCCTCATTCCCTGGTATACCTGCGTGTCCAGGTACCCATGCAAAGGTTATGTTAGCGTACCGTTGCACCTCTAACAGCCACGGGTGTCCAACCTGCCCATGCTCAAGGGCAGAGAGACAACTCGCAGAGACAGAGAATACAACAGCCTGAGACCCATTTGCTAGCCTACAAGCTTGCAGGAGAGCATAGGCCTCAGCTGAGAAGATACCACAGAGACCGGGTAACCGGCCGCAGCGGCTTATGTCCTCCCCAGACACCCCATAACCAACCTCCTCTTCGATTAATGAACCGTCCGTAAATAGCTTGAGCCTTCCCTCGTATGAGGCAGTGACCTCCCTAAATGCAGCTTTCGCCACACTAGAGCTAGCCCCCGCCCCACACATAGCTTTAACCCTCCAATCAACTTTCGGGGCAGTAGCATCCCATGCCCGTTGCCACAGCCTAGCTCGCTGGGCTAACGTGGGAAAATCTACTCCCGTCAAGTCGCTCCACCATTCTCTCGCCCTTGCAACCGTGGGCCTGTCATTGAGAATGGGATCCCTTTCTAGGAGCCTTAGCGCCTTAGTGGCCAGGTCTTCGGTGACAACATTCACCAAAGGAACCTTTCCATTCTCCACCAACAGGGAAGCTATTGGTGAAGACCTCAGCGCTCCGCTACAGATTCTGTATGCCTCATTGTACTGAGGTTCCAGAATCTTGAGCAGGGAGACACCACCCCTGCTCCACAGTTCCGCCCCGTAAAGGATGCTAGGGACAACCAGAGCCCTAGCAACCTTGGTCAATGTACTACGAGAGGCTTCAGAGAAGCGACCATTTAGGGTCCGAAGGATATTCAACTTGTTGTTGACGTTATCCTTCACCAACTTGGCGTGCTTAACAAATCGGAGTTTGTTATCAATAGTCACACCAAGCAGCTTCATCTCGCGTACGGCCTTGACCGCATGCTCACCGATACTAACATAAGGCAGGTTCGGTCTGTGATGATGCCCAAAGCAGACGTGCAGCAGTTTGGACTTCTCGGGGGAAATCACAAACCCAACACCATCTGCCCAGTCAACGACAGACTGAACTGCATCCTGCATCTTGTGCCTAACCACCCTACCGTATTTACCAAACACGATAAGGGTAATATCATCGGCGTATACAATGATGTATACTTCCTTGGGAATGCGTTCAAACACTGAGTTCATCGCAATGAGAAACAGTGTAACCGAAAGGACAGACCCTTGCGGGATGCCATTCTCCAGCAACCTCGAGGTAGAGGTTGCGCCAGCGTTCAATACTCGGAACCTACGGTTCTGTAGAAAGTTTTCTACGTAGTTAAACATACATCCTTGGAAGTCCCAGCTCTTGAGGGAAGTCAAGATAGGAAGCTTCCATGTCATATCATATGCCTTGGACAAATCGAGGGAGACTACATTTAGAAGCATTAGGTTCCTATGGTTGTGTATGGAGACTCCGTAAATCCCACATAGTTTCAAAAGCTTGCTAGTTCTGAACGGAAGAGAACTAATATTGTAAACCTTAAACTGATGATTTTACAAACCTCTATATAATTATGAATTTCACTCTAGATCTAGTAGAACAATGTTTTTGAACATAGTAAAAAGAAGCTCAAGAATATGTCTACGTCCAGTCCAGCGTCTAAATATGCATCGCTTGTCCTAAATTTCCCCTGGTCCTCATATATCGCTCGGAAGATGTCATTCCTGAACCGTAGCGCGTTCCTAACACTATTGTCATCGTAAATGGATTCACATGGATATAAAATCATTTCCTGTCACTTGAACTACTAGAATAGAAAATTTCATTCTAGCATAAATAAGTTTGCTCAAGTGCCTTGCTGATATGATATTGCTGACGACGAGGCTTATAACAAAGAGTATTACGTCTACATCCCATCTCGAGATGTGGAGATAGACGGCGTGGTCTCTGCAGTGAGCCTGACGTGTGATGACGTCATGGAAGGTATGGGGCGCCTTCAAAATGCTGCTACATCTACCGTGGACGTTCTGGGTTGCAGGATATTGTATTCAGCGACCACGGTAGATGGTCAAAAGACTTATTCCCCTTCAGGCTCACTACAGGTGTCTTTCGCTGGATCGGTTCTCCCAAAGTTCTTAGAAATTGAAAATGTTTTTTTCCCGGTGCGACTTTTTGTACCAAGGGTATATAATTGTACCAACTGCAAAAAGTTGGGGCACACAGCTGCTTTTTGTGACAACAAGCCCCGTTGTGGCAAATGTAGCCAAGACCACATGGAGGGTGCTTGCCAACAGGAAGCAACTAAATGTGCTTACTGTGGCAAAGAACCTCTTCATGCTTTGCAGGACTGCCCCGCGTACAAGAAGCGTACCAACAATATGAAGCGTTCAATAAAAGAACGCTCCAAGCTGACGTTTGCAGAAATTTTTAAGTTGCAAAATGGATCCTCTGCTTCGTTGGCATCAGCCGCTCAAAATGAAAACACTTTTGAGATTTTGTCCGATGAACTGGACTCTGACATAGCAGATGAGAGTGAGTCTCTGGAGGTACACGCCCCCGGTTAAAGGAAGCCGACTAGCTCCCCGGGAGTGCGCCGGAAAAAAAAAATAAAACCACTCTCAAAAGCATGCAAAAATCTGAAGGTAGCGGGGATTCATTGAAAAACCCGAACAAATCGGTAATTGCTGCACCATCTGATCCTTGCTGCAGCTTTTCCACCCCGCCGCTACCTAATAAAGGTAATCGTAAGAGGTTACCAAAAATAAACACCACGTCTACTCGCAATTCAAAGAAAACTCTCCCGTCCAAGCGAGGAAAGATTAAATTTAAGGACATTGTGGATAATATTTTAAATGCCCTCGGCTTTCCCGACGAATCGCCACTTCGATGGCTTATTGACCTGCTTGTTCCTATAGTCGGAAACTACTTCAAGCAATTGACTGCATCATGGCCCCTCATTGGTGAATTCATATCTTTCGATGGATTATTCGTCGAGTGAGGATCAAGATATGATCACTTTATTACAATGGAACTGTCGTAGTTTAATACCTAAATTAGACTCGTTCAAGTATTTGATTCACAATTCTGATTGTGATATATTTGCACTCTGTGAAACTTGGCTTTCTTCTGAAGATGAACTAAACTTCCACGATTTTAACATTATCCGCCTGGACCGAGATGATTCATATGGTGGCGTACTTTTGGGGATCAAAAAGTGCTACCCCTTCTATAAAATCTCAATCCCAATAATTTCAGGCATTGAAATTGTCGCTTGCCAAATAAATGTGAAGAACAAAGATCTTTGCATAGCTTCTGTATATGTCCCTCCAAGGACTTCCATAAACCGCCGTCAGCTTTGGAGTTCAGTTAATATCCTTCCATCTCCAGTTCTAATACTGGGCGATATGAACTCACACGGTTCTGGTTGGGGCGAATCATACGATGAAAATAGAGCGGGTATTTTCTATGATTTGTGCGACGATTTCAACTTGACTATCTTGAACACTGGTGAAGCAACACGTATAGCAAACTCTCCTGCTCGAGAGAGCCGTCTTGACATTTCTTTGTGCTCTAACTCACTATCATTAGATTGTCTGTGGAAGGTTATCAATGATCCCCATGGTAGTGATCACTTGCAAATTATTATTTCAATCAAAAGTGGTCGTCTAAAAACAGATCAGTCAATTCAAGTTCCTTTTGACCTCACGAAGAACATTGATTGGCAAAAATTTGTATCGGCGGTAACTCTTGGTATTGATTCTACCGATCCTCTACCACCACTGGAAGAGTATCGTTTCTTTACCGAGCTAATCTACAAAAGCGCATTAGAAGCTCAAAAACGACGTGTTCCAAGTGCATCCCTCAAAAGAAGACCCGCCACCCCTGGATGGGATGACGAATGCACAAAGTTGTATCTTGAGAAATCCGATGCCTTTAAAGATTATCGTAGACATGAAAGATCTGAGCTTTTTGAAAAGTATCTAAAGCTTGAAAAAAAGCTTAAAAACTTACTAAAAGCAAAGAAACGAAATTACTGGCGTACTTTTATCGAGGGACTTTCTAGAGAAACCTCGATGACAACGCTTTGGAAAAAGGCTCGCTATATGCGAAACCGCTCATCTTCCAATGAGAGTGAAGAATACTCCAACCAATGGATATTCGACTTCGCTAAAAAGGTTTGTCCAGATTCTGTTCCAGCACAACCAAGTTTACGGGATACAGCCCGAAGTAACGGTTCTCTGGATGAACCATTCACAATGCTGGAATTTTCAATGGCACTTCTTTCATCAAATAACTCTGCTCCGGGAAGCGATATGATCAAATTTGACCTTCTAAAAAACCTCCCCGATATCGCTAAAAGACGATTACTTAACCTATATAATTCATTTATGGAATTCAATATAGTTCCACCAGCATGGAGACAGGTTAAAGTAATAGCTATTCAAAAGCCTGGGAAACCAGCGTCTGATCACAATTCTTACCGTCCGATCTCTATGTTATCATGCCTGAGGAAATTATTAGAAAAAATGATCCTATTAAGACTTGACCATTGGGTTAAATCAAACAATCTACTTTCAAATACGCAATTTGGTTTCCGGAAGAGTAAAGGAACAAACGATTGTCTAGCGATGCTTTCATCTGATATTCAACTGGCCTTTGCGCACAAGGAGCAATTGGTTTCAGTCTTTTTGGATATTAAGGGCGCATTTGATTCGGTTTCCATAGACATACTGCCAGACAATTTGCACAGTAGTGGATTACCCGGTATTTTGAATAATTTTTTTGTATAATTTGCTGTCAGAAAAACAAATGACCTTCAATCTAGGTCAACTGACAACTTCTAGAATTAGCTACATGGGCTTACCCCAAGGTTCATGTTTAAGTCCCTTACTTTATAATTTCTATGTCAAAGATATTGATAAATGCTTAGATAATCAATGCACGCTTAGACAGCTTGCAGATGATACGGTGGTTTCCATGAGAGGTCCACGTGCAGAAATCTTGCAAAGACCATTGCAAAATTCCCTAAATAATCTGTCTCTCTGGGCAAGAAATTTAGGGATCGAGTTTTTACCGCAAAAAACTGAATTGGTAGTGTTTACAAGGAAGCGGTTTCCAGCCCAACTGCGTCTAATTATTTTGGGCAGAGACATTACCCAATCTTTAACCTTCAAATACCTTGGAGTCTGGTTTGATTCAAAATGCACTTGGGGTACCCACATTACGTATTTGAAACAAAAGTGTCAACAAAGGATCAACTTTCCACGATCAATTTCCGGGACATGGTGGGGTGCTCACCCGGAAGACCTCATTAAACTATATAAAACGACTATTCTTTCAGTTCTTGAGTATGGCTCTTTTTGCTTCCACTCGGCAAGAAAAAGCCACCTAATCAAATTGGAACGTATTCAATATCGTTGTTAACGTATTGCCCTTGGCTGTATGTATTCAACACACAATATGACCCTATAGGTCCTAGCGGGCGTAAAACCCCTACAGAACCGTTTCTGGGAGCTCTCATTAAGAATATTGATTAAATGTAGTGTCAGTAACAACCTTGTGATTGAAAACTTCGAAGAAATGCTCGAATTGAGCATTCAGTCTAGATTCGTGCGAATCTATCTTAATTATATGTCATCGGATATAAGCCTTCCTTGCTATAACACCTCTCGTGTATGCTTTACTCACTACAGTTCCCCCATTGACTATGATCTCTCCATGAAACAGGCTATTCAAGGAGTTCCAGATCAACTTCGACCTATCTCAATTCCCCACATTTTTGCTGAAAAGTACCAACAAGTCAAATGCAATAGAAGATTTTTCACTGATGGATCACGCATTGATGGATCCACTGGCTTCGGCGTCTTCAATGAATACTCAACCGCCTTTCGGAAACTTCAGGAACCTTGTTCCGTTTATGTTGCTGAGCTAGCAGCAATTAACTTCGCATTGGGGATGATTTCCGATATGCCCATAGACCATTACTTCATCTTCTCGGATAGTCTCAGTTCGATTGAGGCTATTCGGTCGATGAAACCAGGTAGGCACTCATCTTATTTCCTTTCAAAGGTAAGGGAGCAGATGAGTTTGCTGGTCG